CCTTCTCCAAGGCTCCTGAGAAGCTTACCTTTGGTTAGTAGGGAATGGAGGAATGGGGTACAATTATAACTACTATTACTACCATTCTTCCATTCCCTACTAACCAAAGGTAAGGAAGATGAAGGAGGGAGTGCCGGTTAGGTTGGGTTGAAGCATAAGTTATTCTAGTATACCATAGTATACTACGATATACTTTAAGGTGCAATCACTACAATACACTCTGATAGACTATACTGAACATAGGTGGTCATGTACTGGAAACTGCAAAAATGTCACGCTGAAATACACTATGCCATCGCGGAATTTCATGCAATATACGGTCATATACATGAACGCCCGGGACTTGCAGAGTAAAGCCCGCCTGAGCCCTGCGTGTTTTATCGTGCTTTAGGATTTGGGGTTTAGGGGGTATGGGTTTTGGGTTAAGGGGTTTAGGGTTTTGAGTTTGGGGTTCAGGGCTTTGGGTTTGGGCTTTACCGCCTTCGTTTGAGGTTTTGGGTTGAGGGTTGGGGATTCTGGCTGAGGCTGAGGCCGATGTGGCCAGTGTGCTCGTCCAGTGCCATTTGCAGGCGAGTGCTTTGCGTGTGTGCCTGGCCCAGAGTGAGATGCAAAACGCACTGTAGAGCCAAAGTGTACACAAAAAGGACAGTAACATGAAGGAAGGTTACAACTGCGACTGCTACTGCTACTACTACTACTACTACTACTACCACCACCACTGCTACTGCAACTACTGCTAGTGCTACTGGTAGTAGCAGCTAGTTGTGGAAGTGATGGCACAGGCAGTGGTTGATGTAGGTGAAGTGACCGTGCCCTAAACCCTACAACCTAGACCCTAAAGCCTAAACCCTAAACCCCTAAACCTTAAACCCGAGCGCCGCCGCGTGCCTCCATCCCCATCTCCGTGACCCGGTCCGACAGAGATTTCATGGCCGAGGCCTGGTCTGGATTGCTTTTCTGGAGGTTAAAGGGGGGCCCTGGCGTTTTGGCAAAGGTTTAGGGTTTAGTTTGGGGTTTAGGTTCTAGTTTAGGGTTTAGGGCTTAGTTTAGGGTTTAGGGTTTAGTTTAGGGTTTAGGGTTTAGTTTAGGGTTTAGGGTTTAGTTTAGGGTTTAGGTTTTAGTTTAGGGTTTAGGGTTTAGTTTAGGGTTTAGGGTTTAGGGTTTAGTTTAGGGTTTAGGTTCTAGTTTAGGGTTTAGGGCTTAGTTTTGGGTTTAGGGTTTAGTTTTGGGTTTAGGGCTTAGTTTAGGGTTTAGGGTTTAGTTTTGGGTTTAGGGTTTTGTTTTGGGTTTAGTTTAGGGTTTAGGGTACAGACGGGGTCAGCACCAGTGCAAGCACGAGAACCAAGAAGCATCACCATCGCCCTCAGCCCCATCAGGACACGTGCAGTCACCATCAGCTTCCTCTGTGCGAACACAACATCACTGAAACCACGACCGTCATCCTCACCGTTACTATCATCATCATCGTCATCATCATGTCGATCCTCGTGGTGCATATTCATGATATAGCGGACCTAAACATAGAAATTTTGATTTTCGGAAACCCCCGTCTATGATACGATCAAAACTCTACACCCTGAACCTTAAACTTATGGCACTTCGTCCAGAGGCTGAGGTTAGGACAGCCGCTTTGCGTCCTGCCACGCTCCGGGAGCGTTTTGGGTCTTGGGGTTTAGGACTCAGAGTGTTTCGGGTAGGTTTCTGATTCTGGGTCTTCGGTATCTGTATCTTCTCCCAGGCGACTCCCTACGACCTCGGCTTCTCGAGGTGATTTTGCCTCCTGTACAGCAACATGTGGTACCTGAAATACACCCCATAGCCCATCAGCTTACTTTGATGCTCGTTTGCCCGTGAATTGTGGTTTAGGTTCTGAAGCACCTAAACCCTAACCCCCAGAAACAAAGTCCCAAAGCGTAGAGAAAACCCGAGGTCTACTTGGAGGTTCATGGGTAGTTATAAGTGGAGTTATAAGCAGGCTAACTATACTTATAACCCATACTAGGGGACTTACAACCCCAGTTATGACTACCCATGAACCTCCAAGTAGCCCGTGAACACCAGGGTAAAGCTCAGGGCAGAACCGAGTTCTTCCGTGGTGGCCTGGATCGATGTCTCGGCCTGCAAAGTTGTCTCTCTCGGGCTTCAGGGACTCGTGCAGTTTGGAGTTCTCTCTTAAACCTAAGATGTGTCGGGGGTCATTGGGGCTGAAGGCTCTGAATCCTTTTTGGGGATCTATGAGAGTTTAAATTTTGGTGTTGTTGTCACCCTGTTTCATACTTGATATCATAACATTTCACAGTACATGTGGCGATACGAAGTATCGTATATGTTTTGAAGTGTAAAATCCCACTGTATATGGCATGCTGTTTCTAGAAAGATATGTTGTATACATGGGTATATACATACATACATATATATATATATATATATATATTATGCATTTATTTATTTCTTTCTTTATACGGTATACGCCTAAATATTTTTTCGAATCGACACCGAATACTGTAATACAGTTCCTATGCTTCCTCATATTAAACTGTAGGATACTACATGACATGACTTTGGGCTATGCCATGAAAACTGACATGGTAGCGTACTTTGTTCTTGTTTCAGTTTGTATGACAGTATAGATAATAAACTCGTCTACAGTATATTGTATTAACACTGTTTTATTGCATAACCTTTTGCTGAAGTGCCTTTGGGCACATATTATATTTTGCTATATTGCACCGTCTTAGTACATTATGTTACACTGCGCTTCATTATGCTATGCTATGCTGTGTCATCTTACACTATGCAGCGTTCCATTGCACCGTACTACATCGTTCCACTACACTTTTGTAGGCATTATGGCACTGTATTGCACTGCATCGTTTCGTATTGTGGCAATGTATCGACTCTGCTGTACTATACTTTGCTATACTATACTATGCTATACTTTACCAGCCTGCACTACACCATACTATACGACGGTGCTCCACAAGTGTTCAATGCTACTGGGGTTTGGAGTCTCGGAAACTGAGCGCCTGAGTCGGCAAGGCACACAGCTTGGAAGCCCGGCAAGCCACTCAAAACCATTTCGGGTTTGAGGTTAGGTGAGGGTCTAGGGACTAGGGTTTGAGGTTTGAGATTTAGGTTAGGGCACATTGGCCTGCATTTGTCATCCCTGCCCGCTCTTGCACTATCACACTACCTGTCACTGCCACACTCATCGCTTTTCCGACCGATTTGGCGGTTCGGCAAATTCCACGCCTATCGTTCTTCTACAGCTTTATTTCAAAACGAAGCATGTGCCTTCTGCATGCGCGCTTCCAGCAATTCCAGGTCACGCTGCTTGGAAAGCGTCTTTGTCACGGATTGCAGGCCTTCCACCTGGAAATCCAGCTTTTGGGGACTGGCATTTGCTACCCAAGCATGATATGCGAGACATACTTGCAGGTTCATGGGTAGTCATAAGTGGAGTTATAAGTCCCCTCATATGGGTTACAACTATAGTTACCCTACTTATAACTCCACTTACAACTACCCATGAACCTCCAAGTACACCTGCCAGCCGGCTGGCATCCAGAAACCAGCGCCTTGTCAGAAAGTCCTGATATTTCCGTGTTCAAAGCCTCGGAAGCGGGGAGTAAGAGGCTGGAGGTGAAGGAAACCATGGAACATGCTTGAACGACGATTCCGAAGTGTGCTGTTAACGGGCCGTTCTAACCCACGCTAGCATCACGCAACCACCTCCGAAGCCCCACCAACAGATTCGGCGCTTGCGTGGCAAACTTTGTGAAGTTTGCTCGTGAAGATTGTTCGTCCCGACCCTTGCCCTCCACAAAACTTTCCACTTCTAGAAGCATTGCAAACCAAGAGTTCACGACGCCAAACCCAAACATTTGATGCTCATGACAATGCTCATCAAGACCACATGCTAGTGTAAACAACAACAGTAGCAACAGGGAAAATAGCAGGCACAGCAATCCAAGCGCAAAGAAAGATGAGATGGACACAAGAAGCTGCAGATGACCGTAGTTGAGTAGTGGTAGTGATAGCGGTAGTGGCAGTGGTTGTGGTGCTGGTCGTGGTGATAGTCAGCTGTTCTTGTAGCTGTAGATATAGTAGTTGTTGCACCAGGATCTCTTTGCATATCTTCATCCATAGAACTGCATGCATATAAACGGAAAGCCGTAAACGACGGTATACCTGCATAGCACATGGCAACGAAGAATGCAGCCTTCTCTAACCTACAGCAACATAATTGTTGTATGCCTCTGCATGAGTATAGCTGTACACAAACACATAACTTGCGTACGAATGTCTCACAGTGCTGACCTCACCCACCCGCCCCCACCCACCTGCATTAACCTACGGCCTGCCTTTGTTCCGAAAGCCTTCTACCCCTGAACAGTTCCCCTGCTCAGTTTTCGGCAGCACTGCTGCTCTCCAAACTCTGCTGGAGAGTATCCAAACCTCGGCCACTTGATGGTTCGGGGTTTAGGTAATTAGGGGATTCAACGCTAAGGACTTCGCGGTTTAGGGATTTGGGCTGTGACGGCTTCAGGACTTCAGGGTTTCGGACCTTCTGCTCAAAGCACGGGACCAACGCACACAGACACAGGGCAGGAGTAAACTTCTTGTGACGGCGAGGTTGTGGCCTCCTTTGTTGCCAGGTCCAATGACCGAACACAACCCGACATCGCTGGCTGAGCCGTCGGCGCCCGTCTGTTGTCCGCAGATTTCGCTGCATCTCTCGTGAGGCCTCAATAGCTGCAGAAAATGCACAACACTGTCAACAGAGCCTTTGACAGATGGCTCTGACAAAGCTGCTGGGCCTCAACACGTTGAGCGTACAGGCTCTCGGCTCGTGCTTCTGCACAACTTGCTTTTTCGGCTGATGCATGCGAGTCCGGCCAGGCAGTACGTCGATCTTGGTTTTTCAAGACCACTGCACCCGTGCAGTATGGAAGGGAAGAGGTTCAAGAATTGCATGACTCGCAAGCACAAGCCCTGCGTCATGCTCGTTCAGTCGATATCAGATGTCGAGAGCAGACAGAACAGGCATAGCCACAGAGGTAGCCGGCAATGAAGGCAATGGAATTTCGTTGGGGTGGTGCCTGACGAAGCACGATCCTCGGATCTCCGTTGCATCGGAAACAAGTGCCGCTGTCTTCGGGTCGCTACTGTCATCGAGCCATCAAAACCATCGTCATCGGAATAACAACAGCATCACCAGCATAATGAGTATCGTCAACATCGTACAATCATTGCCGGACAAGCAAGCACTACTGCCAATGATCAGTTTTGACGGCGGTGCTTCTGTACTCTCAGTATCGCTCAGTAACATCGCATGGCGGAAGCAATGTCATTCTTGCTGTACCATTTCGGATCACGCATGACCATGATTGGCCTCTCCATCAATGATCGAAAAGGTCTGGCCTACGAAACTACAAGCAGAATAATTCCTTCGGCCAGTGCCTTTCCTCCTCCGTATCGTCACGACGGTCTTCATGCTTGTTTTCTGTCCGTTGTCGAAATATGTTTGTATGCAACTGTGCCGCACATATGTCTGCACTCCTGCTACACGTATTGCTACTTATTGCGGCTACTGTTGCGCTTTCGCAAGGTATTACGATCAATTTGCTATTGCGACCACCTGAGTCCAGTATTGATTTACACCTTCTCTGTTGGTATGACTACTCTGGTTTGCCGCTTGTTGCTATTTTTCGGTTTAGTTCTTCGGTTTGTATATGGGGTCCCCACATAAAAGGACCTAGAAAAGCATAACACCTCGACAAACCCTATCAAACTGCATATAATCGCCGAAAACGATATAATAAGTTTTCCGACTCCCTCATTGAACTCTTCGTCTCGCTCTCAGCCACCCCGGGTCCATTAGAGCTGCTCTGAGTCTCAGTCACAGTCTTTGCCTTGGCCCCAATCTCTTAGTTTTAGTCTTTCGGGGCTTTGGGTGTAGGGTTTACTCTTTTTTGCGGGCCTGTGTCCAACTGCTAATCAAATGAGATCCCAAGTTCGGGGGAAACTGTTTGTGGGGGGGGAGGCTCGGGTTTAGGATCTAAGTCTTCGTCGTCTTCGCTTTTAGTCTAGCCTCGAGTGAAAGCAGTATTCATGTTATCATTGCTTTGCACTATTACTACATGTCCAGCCCCCATGCGGTATGCTGGTTGCTCTCTTCTATTACTACTATTAGTCGTATTATTACCACAACTTGTCGCTCTACTTCGATTACTACTATTGGTATTAAACTGACTGCTATACCTCCATATCTGTTACGGCTACGACTACTAACTACTACGACGACTACTATTACTACTCGTATGGCTACTGCTCCTACCATTGTTGCCACAACTACGACTACTCCGTGAGTATTGCTGCCACGCATGCTGTCACATAGTGTATGATACTTAGCATGTATTGCTAGACCCGAAGCCGCCCTAAACCCCAAAACCCTTAAACCCTAAACCCTTTACCCGGAACCCTAAACTCTTTACCCTAAACCCCTAGACCCTACACCATGTCCAGGCGTCACCTGCCCAGGAGACAGAACAGCGCTAGATGGGATGCCATCCGCCCAGCCGGGGCGCTCAGCCCAAGAGCCATAGCCAATGACCTCGGCGAAAGGGTTTAGGGTCGAAGGTTTCGGGGTTTTGCTGCAGTTTTGGGTTGGGGGTTTTAGAGGGTTTTGCTGCAGTTTCGGGTTGGGGGTTTAGGGATTAGGATAGTTTAGGGTTGGGGGTTTAGGGTTTAGGGTAGCTTAGTCTTGGTGGTTTAAGGTTTAGGATAGTTTAGGGTGGGGGGGAGGGGTTGTTCAGGGTTTAGGATATGTGTGCGTTTCAGAATATGGGAGGGTCCTTCTGGCAAGGATACATGCCATCTGGGGGTTTACATTAGCATATGAACTGCCAGGGAAGCGGGCATAGAACAGGCGCGTCTGAACAGGCAATATGCTGCGTTTAGAGTTGAGGTGTGGGGTTCGGTGCATGTAGACTGGCAACAAAAACCCTGCAGGGCCCACATCATAGAAGAAGGGATGGAAAGGGGTGTGCCGGGTTTCTGGCTTTCAAGATCTCTGGCTTTTGGGCGATTTGGTGCTTCTGGTGCTCATATGGGTATGTAGGACCTTGGAGTTCGAGTGGGCGAAGTAAGCGCCCGACTGCCAGTTGGCAGATGCCCTCTCTTGGGGTGAAAAGGTGCCCGTCGACCGGCGCACCTGTGCGAGAACCGTTTACCCGAACAGAGAAGGAAAGTGCAAGGCAGCCCTTGGCACCTAAGAACTCCACGTCGTCATTGCTGGCGACATACTCTGCGATCTCCTGTCACTGTGGGCCAAGGCCCTGCAAGGTGTGTCCACAATCCTTACACCTGAATCCCGCAATGGGAGTTTCTGAAAATAGGGGTACCTTATTTTGGAGTCCTTGTAATAAGGATCCTACAATTTAGGGTACTATATTAGGGTCCCCTATTTTCGGAAACTCCCAAATCCCCAACCCTGACCATGCAGCACACACCGTTCACCTGTCCTTGAAGCCGGCATGCTCGGGTCCTCCCACCTTCGGCTGTCGCAGACCACTGCATGACGACAGGTACCCACACTCTGGCCGTGCCTTTGGAGTTGTGTCAGCGAAAATGTCGTCATCATCATCATCAGCAGCATCATGGTCGTCATCAGCATCGGCAACACCATCATCACCATTATCATGATGACCAAGATCGCAATCACCCGCATACTCTTCTTTACCCTCACCGTTCATAAGGAGCACCAACAACATCGTCACACGATGGATGTGAGATTGCTGACGGTTAAGACCGTGGTGGTGACAATGACGACGATGATGATCAGCAGGACAGATGCAAACCATGCGAACCTCCTCCTCCTCATCCTCCTCCTCCTCATCATCATCATCAACAATTCAGCAGCATCATCATCATCATCATCATGATCATCGCAACCATGCTCGTCAATCGTCGCCCTCGTCCGCTTGACAGCACCCCACAGCTATACATTACCAGCCTTTCGGGCATCGATGAGGAGCAGCTTCGGACGTCGCAGTGCCCGGAGAAGCGTTGGAGAGAAGCCGCTGTCGGCCGTCCAGCCGATCGAGTTGTTACCTTAGCTCAGCTTCAACATCCATGAAGCTCCCAAAGCCTCTGAATCTCATTGTACTAGGACTCCAGCCGATGTCGAGCCGGGCACCGAAGCACAACTCACTGTGCTGTGCCCGGTGGCTGGTGAGACGCAGAGGCCCCGCCTGCACGCACCCATGAAGAATCGAACTCATGAGCATCACTGAGTGGCCCCTGCCTCGCTTTGGACGGTGACCAGCTCCCCTTCCGGTGCCGGAACCCATGCGGCGAAATCGCCCATGTCACGTCCCATGCTGCGCATCTCGTGCATCCGATAGACTTGCAACCTGCCAGAGTTTCTGCAAGGCAGTCCCAGGCCAGGTCATGCAGGGGGCTTATTGTAATTAGAATAGGAATAAAGCTTTGGGGCTCATTATACTATAATTATACTAAGGAACCCCCAAAATAATATTGGTACTTATTGAGGCCCTATAGCAACATGGGACCGTGCGACAACGCCCGGGGTCCAGACCTGGCAAGCACTTCTGTCTCGGCGATGACACACATGGGCCGCTGCTTTTGCAGGCCTCTTTGACGGTTTAGGGTGTGGGGGTTTAGTGGGTTAGGGTTTAGAATTTAAGGGTTTAGGGTTTAGGGGTTTAGGCTTTAGCTGGTTGGGGTTTAGAGAAGATCCCCAAACCTTAAACCCAAGGTGGCTGCCCGTCCTTCGACCGCCAGCACTATCGGCAGCTCGCCCGCATGGTCACTGTGGTTGTGGCTGATGAAAATCGTCGATGGTATCTCTCCTGGATAGCATCTCCCCATTACCTTGAACCTGAGGCCCGTAATCATGGGTTTAGGGTTTATGGTTCAGGGCAGTTATTCATGTGATTCCTTACCCTGCCCTCCAGAGTCCTAGGTATCGCAGGGCTGACTTGCAAACGCCGAGGCCCAGGTCAGCCAAAAAGAAAGGTCTCCTTCACCGATCAGGAAACACTCCACTGCACTGTTGTTAAGTTCCTTGATGTGGCTATGTCTAGAAGTGTTAAGCATTCTGTATGAAGCTTAATCTATACCGTCTACCACAAAAAAGGACTGGCAGCGAACAGTCTCTAGAGCACTAGAGCCCAAGGCGAAAAAGGAAAACGAAATATGACAAACTGACAAACTGCCATAGCACAGCCTCAATTCGATTTCGCTTTACCGGCTCTACAGATATGTAACATGCATATATGGCTATTCACACACACACACACACAAACACACGTGTATACCGCCACCTTCCTACTTACCTACCTACCTAGCTAGCCACCCACCTACCAACTTCTGCGTTAAATCATTGTGTCTGCTAGGCTGACAACTCCACCGGGCACGGCGCGTCCTGTCGAAGGCCAAAGCCCAAGAGCTGCTGCATTCGCCGTCGTAAACGGCCGTGGAGCCCGCCCCAGTGCCCAGGACGTGGAGAGTGAGGGCCATCGGAAGTACAGGTAGTTGGCAGAACCGGGGTTTCAGAGGGTTTGAGGGGTGCATGGAGCTTTGGAAGTGGGGTTTCCGGACGCTGGGGCATCCCCTGAATCACTATCGTAGTTCTGTGACAAAGATCTGCAAAAGCGACAGAAATTGTAACAATGCCACGCTGGTGCAATGATGTCACGATGCAGCTACTAAGCCAGTCCAGCAGCGCACAAAACATTGTCAGGATCGATCGGAACCTGTCTGACGGGCTCCCTTCCTCTCTATCGGTATGGTTGCAACAACCATACCGAAACTACAATAGGGAACCCCCAAAATAGTATAGGCAATTATCTAGTGAAAACAAAATTTGTATGATAGCCCTTATAATCGCCCTGAAAGACCCCTTTTAAAGGCATTTTTTTGGCCCCTGTATTAAAGCACCTCGGTACTCCGTGACTTTTTGAGGCCACCGCTGTGTCGACAGAAGCCTGTGCTGTGGCTCGGTCGCGCCTGGAGCATTGGGAATTTGGGGTTCAGAGCGAAATTAGCAGGAAGAACAAATGCGAACAGGGTTTAGGGTTTAGGGTTCAAGGCTACGCGGGTAATGACGAACACAACTACGAAAAGGGTTTAGGGTTGGAAATTCAAACCGGGTATGGAATTACAATCAATGCGAATAGGGTTCAGGCTGTCGGGTTCGCCCAGCCCAGCACCCAATTCCCAAAATCAGGCTTCAAATGGAAATTCTGGTCACAACTTTCGGTTAAAACGTTTCGGTCAACAACTGTTGGTCAAAACGTTGTTGGCACCCAAACCCTCAACAGTTTCTAATAAACCCTATAAACCTTAAACCCTAGATCCTACATCCTAAGCCCTGAATCCTAAACCCTACACCCTAAGCCCTAAACCCCACACCGTCTTGAAGGAACTCCTTAGGCCCCTCAGGGCGTGACACAACTTCCGCTTGAAGCTCGGCCAAGGAGGTCGCCAAAGACTTGTAGTCGGTCACCGTACCTGGGAACGGCATGCACGGAGCATAGGTTTAGGGTTTGGAGTGTAGGGTTTAGGCTTTAGGGTTTAGGGTTTAAGGTTTAGGGTTCAAGGGTTTAGCGTTGAGGATTTAGGGCAGAGGGTGTGGGGTTTAGGGTTTCGGATGTATGTAAGCAATTAAGTAAGTATGTATGTGTGTACATGTATTCATACAGATATATAATAAAGAGAGCAACAGAGATATCGTGCTTGACACAGGTGTAGATGTAGAAACAGATATAGACACAAACACAGACATAAACATGCAACCTGCATCGGTTAGCATACATAAAGTTTATACATCTGTGTGTGCGTGTGTGTGCGTGTGTACGTGTAGTACAAAAAGCTAGTGTACGTTTGTATGCATATACAGATACATATACAAATATGTATATATATATATATGTATATATATATGTGAATATATACATTGTAGCAATTTGCATATACCTATATATATATATATATACATACATACATGCATACATATATTTGTATATATACATATATATATATATATATATATATATGTGTGTGTGTGTGTGTGTCTAGGTTTGGAGTTCAGAGTCGAGGAATGGAGTTTAGAGTCGAACATTCAGCATAAGTGACACGTGAGTCCTTGGTGCCGCACAGCGCAGTGCAATCGCAGAGTCAGAGATCACCAGCCGCTCCTCCCAGAGACTCCAATATCCCTTAATTAAGGAATATTCCTTAAATCATATACGGGATCCTACTATAATTTAAGGAATATTCCTTAATTAAGGGATATTGGAGTCTCTGGGCTGACAGTAACGCTCGGCTGATGGCTGGCTCCTCGGATCCTGCTGTCCCCGAGACCCTGCCATGGAAGAGCCTGCAACCCTCACCCCTTAACCCTAAATCCCGAATCCTAATCCTGAGCCCTAAATCACACCCTAAAACCTAAACCCTAAATCTTAAACCCTGAACCTTTTGTAAAACCCTAACAACTAAATCTTGCACCTGAACCCTGAATCTTGGTCCTTAAATCGTACAGCCTACGTCGAAACATAAGCTCCTCGTGTGCAAGGAGCGATGTACTGTGCTGCTCTGCAATGGAGTCAAGGCAGTTCAGGCGCTCCTGAGAAACAAAAGAGTTTGGGGGAGGGGTGTGGGGTTGAGGGAAGGGAGAGGAGCAAGACATACAGTAAGCTTACGCATGATGACAATCGGCGAAGATGATGCCGCGATCTTTTCGTGGCCTGCAGGCTTCGAAATCTTCCAGTTCCTACCTTGGGCGCGAGCTTTTGATGCCATGACATCTTTTCCCAAAGAGCTGATCCACCTAACAGCTCCAAGAGGAAACGAAAGGCCATCGCGAAATCGTCACGCACCGCCGTGCAAGGAAAAGAAGGCTTAGCCGGTGACGTCTTCGAAAGATTTTGGAAGGCCTCGAGCTTGCTGTCCAAGCTTGCCTGCAGTAGCAGTTTAGGGCTATTCCGGCTCTTTTGTTTAGTATATGCGGACGTATGTATAATGGAAAATACACATATGTCATGTGATAGAGATAGATGGTTAGATAGATGCATAGATGGATAGGGTATACATTCTTCAACTTCACACATATGTCACATGTGCACATATTTGAGTGAATATTCCGATGCATTTATGTAACAGGAGCTTTCAGACATGGATTAGCAAAGTAATGTAGGAAACCGATTAAGAAACTCTGGGCGAAAAAAACCCAAACTACTAGGATTCATACAAGGAACCCTAACAAGGGCCCAAGGTTTCTTAATCAGGTTCCTACATTATTACAGTACCCTTATAGATCCCTTATACTAACCCTTATAGACCCCTTTAAAGGAACCCTGTCATCTCAGGTCAGGGCTCAACCTGTTTCTCTGTTCACTCTGAGCCCTGCACACGCATTTGCGACTCCTCGTTTATGTTGCGTGTCAGCAGCCGGCGCACGGTCTCTGTTTCCTCCTGGGGTGTAGGGCTCAGCACAGATACTGGCTGTGGAAGATGATAGCAGTCGGTGGCTTTGATTCCGTGACACGGACAGGCGTCTGAGTGTTCGGAGCTCCTTGCGAACCGTCTGCTCCCGCTCAAGATCGGAACGGAGCTGCTTCAACTCATCCTTCATGCCCGCAATGCCTCGCGAGTCGGACGGCTGACCGGTAGACATCGATGTTCACAACAATCAACGCGGGCTGCGAACATGAACTGACAAGCACGCCGTTTGCTGGGTTTGCGAAATTGCAAGCACCCGGTGTGTGTGTGTGTGTGTGAGAGAGAGAGAGAGCGTGTGTGTGTGTGTGTGTGTGTGTGTGTGTGATAAGAAATGCGCGGAATTAGATTCCTCAGGATGGAATAAAAGATCAAACGCTGCTTTTCATGGTCACTGAGACCACCACAAGACTGAATGCCCGTCAGCTCATGCCTCAGCTGCGCACACCCGCGAAAGAGTTCGGTTGAGTTGAGACGGCAGGACGCTTCCAACAATGAGGTGGTGGTGGTGGTGGTGGTGGTGGTGGTGGTGGTGGTGGTGGTGGTGGTGGTGGTGGTGGTGGTGGTGGTGGTGGTGGTGGTGGTGGTCGTCGTCGTCGTCGTCGTAGTAGTAGTAGTAGTAGTAGTGGTAGTAGTAGTAGTAGTAGTAGTAGTAGTAGTAGTAGTAGTAGTAGTAGTAGTGATTTTAGTAGTACATGGTAGTAGTAGCAGTAGTGGTGGTGGTGGTGGCGGCAGAGCATTGATTCTGCTATTGTAGTGAACGGTGGTCTTCGTCGTAGTAGTGGCAGCAGCAGTTAGACAGTGGCCGTGACAACGTACGATCACACAGACAACTGTTATCATTGGTTCCACCCTTTATTATCACGAGTGATAACGGTAGTAGGAGGTGCGGGAGGAGTTGTAGGAGTAGAAGTGGTCGTAGGTGCTGTGTTCGCGGCCGTACTCGCAAACGTGTGTAGTGGCGAGGGCACTTGGAAAGCAACAAGCATTAGCAATAGTAGCAGCATGCTCAAAGTACCGGTTGCATGGATGCTGTTGATAACGATGGTGCTGGTCGTGCGATGATGATGATGATGATGATGATGATGATGATGATGATGAAGGCGACGACGACCACGACGACGATGAGAATCAGCGAACAATGAAATCAGTGTCCTGATGGTGACAAGATAATGACGACGATGGCGAAGCTGAGGATGGTGCTCAGGATGGCCACGCAGTAACTTCAGGAACGACCAGGGTATAACGATGCGTGTTACTCATGTCGCAGATGACGAGAAACACATGGGGCCTTGGTGGCTGCTACTGCATTGATCTGATGGTGATGTCGACGGTGATCAGGCGGAAGGGGACGGAAATGCGAGCGACAACCAGGCTGAGAAGGCGGAGGACGATGATGGTTGACTGTAAGGACGATGATGAAGATGGAAAGATGCCGATAATGATGGTGAAGGCGCTCATGAAGATGACGATGATGATGATGCTGATGATGATGATGATGATGATGATGATGATGAGTGGTGGGGAGGAGTGACGGCAATGAGGATGCTGCTGATGATGATGATGATGATGATGGCGGTGGTATGGCGGTGATGTGGTGGTGATGGTGATGATGTTGATGATGATAGAAATCATGTTGGTGATGATGATAATGGTGATGCCTGATGACGGTGATTAAGATGACTTGCATGGAGACACTAGGTCCCTGAGATCACGGCAGTGTTTCTCGCACAAATGCAAAGCCGCTGGAAGCTTCCTGGAAGAGCATGCGAAATTTCAGCTATCTCAGTGTTCTGGCACGATCCAGTTTAGGCTCATCCTGTACCAGCTGAAGCATGTACTACAACAACTTTGCTGGCGACCTCGGGCGGTGGATCTTTGGCTGCCACAGGCACCACAGGAATTCCTGCAGGCTCAAGGAAGATAAAAAAAGGCAAGTCGAAGCTGCACTCCTCGTCTGGCTACAAAGCTTAACACAATGACAATGGCTTTCCAAAGTGCAGCTGTGATTTCGGACGTTTTCGGTATACATGGCACTTGTGCTCTGGTTGAAACCCTCCGACTTAACCCCAAAGCTCTGGGATCCACCCGGAGCGGGTCCTTCAGAGTCCTGCATCACGGCTTTCGCACACCAAGGCTACTAGCTCCAGTCACCCAAATCTCGCAGGCACTTCACCCCACCCGGACTTGAGCCACAGCGCATGTGAATTGCTCCTTTCGCTTTCGGAACTCCTACGTACTGAGACCTCGTTGAATCCTATGCGCTATTGAATGTCTGACCTTGTCGGTCCTACCAGGCACTGCCACAAGGTCACACGAGCAGATACTTTTCCCTTCAAGCTGGAAGCTTCCACGCCAGTCCCACACGAAGCCAGGACATCCACCGGGCGGCACCAGAGTTGGCTTGGAACTTGTACTGTAAGTGCCCGCCCCTCCCTGCCTACATGCCGCACACACTGTAGCGACCTTGCTGATCGCGTCACCTATCCTATTTTCTTCCGGGATGCGCACGGGAAAGATCCGTGGAGGACCCTAAAACCCCAACCCCCAAACCCTAAAACCTAAACCTAGATTCTGAGGTTGTATCAGCAAATGGCAGATGCAGCCTGAGCCAGAACGGCACAGGATGTCACTAGGATGACGTGCCTTCAGAAATGCTAGGCGCCAATACTATGTAATACTATGTGTTTGTTTTTTTTTGGGGGCGGGGTGGGGGGGTTCCTTTAAAGGGGTCTAAAAGGGCCTCGGTAAGGGATCTACAAGGGTACCATAATATGGGGCCGGTATCATGGGCCCCAAGACCTTCTTCTAATCATTAAGACTAGCATGGCATCTACAAGTCGATGCCTCACCCATCGCTGGCTGTGACTCGAAATGCTGCGCTACAAGTTGTAGTTAATAGTAATAGTAATAATAGTTTATTAGTAATAATAGTACTAATAGTAATAATAGCAATAATAGTAATAATAGTAATAATAGTAATAATAGTAATAATAGTAATAATAGTAATAATAGTAATAATAGTAATAATAGTGATACTAGTAATAATAGTAGTCGCGCGAGACCAAGTCCAGCAAAGCGCAAAGCAACATGCGACCATTTTCAGGGCTCGGAAAGGACGCGAAGTAACATTCAGTCAAGCGATGTGAGGACAAGTCCTGCACGACAAACAGAGAAGCAGAACGTGCACTGGTGTGACCCGTCATTGCTTGATCGACATACTATAGGGGCCTTAACAATTAGAATAGGATTTTGTGCCCCATTATACAATAAATACTATGTGTGTATATATATATATACATATATATATATAATCAGGAACCCCCAAAATAGTATTGGAAAAATATGCAGGCCCCCAAAAGACTCCTCTGGTCCTCAAGTCGCAGGGCACATGATGATGGGCAGCAGCCGCACGAGGTCAGGATTACATCACCTGCCGAGACATGTACGGATACTCGGGATGCAGCAACAGCCCACCGCTGTAGGTGCCATCGGGAAACTACTTCGCCACAGCCTTTGGTGTAGATCTTGGCATCTGCATAGTTCCTGCCGCAAACAAACCGTGCAAGCAGCATCAAGCGGAGAGGGGTTGACGTGTCCTGCATTATCACTAACACAGCAAGCATCAGTTGCGACCCACCACATCTCCGATTTCCTCGCCCGTGGACATCCCCGCCTATGCCATCGGTGCAATGTTGGAGGAGATGGGCGGCGGCATCGAGCCCTCCGAACAGGGAATGCTGTGATAAGCAGTCAACCAGCCCCGAGGGCCCGAAGATGAAGCACCGAACCAAACGAGGCAGACGAGGGGGACGACAGCAGCAGTTAGCTAATGAGCTCTTGCCTAGTAGTCACAGTGATAGCAGTAGTGGTAGTAGTAGTAGCAGCAGCAGCAGGAGTAGTCGTCGTCGTTGTTGTTGCTGTTGCTGTTGCAGTGGCAGTGGTAGTGGCTGTGGCACTGGCAGTGGCTGTGGCAGTGGCTGTTGCTGCTGTGGTTGCAGTTGCTGTGGTTCTTGCTACTCCTGTTGATGAAGCTGCCGCTGGTATGGCTGTTACGTACACGTGTTTCGGACACGACTGCAACACGACCACCACGACTACCACTGGCCAATGCAGCGGCGGCTTATTCGACTTCTTGTCGCACTACGAAACGTTTGAGTACTAAGGCCACAATGACAACCAAATTACCACGAAGAAACCCTAAAGGGAACTCCAGAAAGTTGGAATATGGATTAATGGTAGGATCCCCTATAATTTACCATAAAGGGGTTAGGATAATCATATTCCAACTTTCTGGCTTCTACTGAGCCCTAAACCGCTGATATCATAGGGATCCTTAGGGGTGTAGGGGGGAGGGGTGTAGGGGACTATATTTCCTTAAATAGGCCTTATTAGTCCTTATTATGGGCCTTAAGGCCCCCTACCCCCCCTCCCCCTACACCCCTAAGGACCCCTATGAAAACCGCTGATATCGGCCTGCCCTGGCATAGTGGGCGGCGGTTTCATCGAGCCCTGGCCGGTGCTAAGCAAAGCAGCAGGGACGCGTTGATGCAAAGGACTTCTGTTTGTCTTGCTTACTCAGAATAGGGGTTCCTCCAAAGGGATCCTACAAGGGCTGCGATACGGGATCTATGAGGGTATTCTAATGTAGGGGCCTTAAACGGATATTCTGGCGACTACCACGACCACCAGTACCGCTGATAATACGACGACGATCAGTACTGCTACTTCAGCTGCAAGTGATTCGATTTCGGTTCACTCCGATTTTGCGATTCACTTTGCAATTCACTTTGGATTCACTTCCCTATTCACTCCTGGATTGGAATTTTGGCCTTCTCTCAAGCCTTCGGGTCTGGTCGTGGCTGTGAAACGCACGCGCCAGGCGACTCGCTACACAGCTACGGCATGTCCTCTGTGCTGTGGGCTTGTTGCCAGGCAAAAGGGCATGTATTAGTCTAGTTTACAGGGAACTCCAGAAAGTTGGAATATGGTTCATGGTAGGATGCACTATAATTTACCATAGAAGGGTTAGGATAATCATATTCCAACTTTCTGGCTTTTACCTTAGCCTTAGCCGGGTGGTGTCGGGCGGACTGGCCTCACCTCAGGGCTGGCTGGGCCGGTGACTTGTGGGTC